TGGGAATGTGCTTTAAGGCTGGTTAATACTAACCATGTGTAGACCTCTGCACTTAGTCTTGACTGTCTTCAATGATACATACTACTTCTCATTAGTTTGCAAACACGAGGATGATAAATACGAGCAGCCTTTAAGTATGCAGTTTTGGAAATGATTAAAAACTTTCTCTTGACTTTTGGGGAGGAAGAAGAGGAATAATGATGTGAGGATGATATTTGTGAAAGTAGATGCACTCGGCTTGAGCTCAGAGCATGTTCATTCATTTACTATAACCATGCGGCGACCGAGTGACTCGGAACAGGAGCGTTGCTGCTAAGTGGAACAGAGAAGGGGAGCAGCTGGGCGAAATTCACCCGCCACTTCCAATGTGGATCAGAAATTGCACTCACACCAGCAGCCCCTTTCCGACAGTGGTGGGGAAAAAATTAAGGGAAACAGGAGGACAGAGTGTGCTGTGGCCATACAAATCACGGACAGTAGATTGAATGGAGGGCAGTGATGGAAATGGGAAATGGTCACATTCTTTGAGACCTGCTGTGTTTGATAGACAAGGTTTCATGGTCTACTGAAGATGAAGTAATGGGTGTAACACACTGATTTACAGCAGCTGGAAGATTGGCAGAAACAAAAAAGAGTAACTTATCACTGTTCTTTGACGGCCCCAGTGAAGTGTTTTATTCTTTGTAAATGAGGACACATTAAAGGTGCAAAGTGTAAGATATGGCCCGAATTTTCAACAGACTGTGAAGAGGTTATCAAGGCATCTATGTATTGTGTTGCAGAGATATCTACTGAAATGAGCATGCTAACCAGCTAGCCCCGCCTGTCTTGTAATAGTCCAGGCTGTCCTCAGCCCGACATGAGAGTACGAAGAAGTACAGCTGCCCTGAAGGCTTGTCAATCACGTTGAATGTACATTGTGATAGTTTGTTTATGGGATTAAGTCCTCCTGGCTGCCAGAAGACTACTTCGCCAGGAGGAGAGCGGTCGCCAGCTCCAGCAGAGGCGGACCTTCAGTTAGCAGCTTGAATTCAGACAGAGCAAAATCCCAGCGCCCGGGGTCGGATCCCAGAGAACTGCCCAGACTCCCCACCAGATCAGCAAACTTTCTGTTGCTCTAGTTACACAGGTTAGACCCAGCACGGCCGCTGATCAATCTCTTCTGAAATAACTGAAGGTCCGTCTCTTTTAGTCTCCTCCCAGTGAAGTAATCTTCTGGTGGCAGGGAGGACCATCCAAACATACAAGGACTAATATGGGCCGGCGACACAAGTAAAGCTTATAAGATTGCAATGTTACGTTGACTGTCTCTCAGAATTTCAGTATTTCGGTTGGATTGTTGCCCTGCTTTTTTAAAATAACAGATGACTGTAAATTGAATTAATATGGACCAAGTAGTAGAGGTAACTGCCCCCTATTTGTTTGGAGCATGTGACCTGGTATCACCCCTTGCATGTTTTAAGTAGTATTAGTTTTTTGTCATCTGAGTGAGATTTTGTATGTTTGACAAGACAATTTGTAATAAGTTTATTCCGACAGATTCTTTTTAGCCAGAATTAGTTTTCAGGGAAATGTTACTTCTAACTAAATATGTTTCAGAGGCAAAGGTTTCTTGCATGAAAAACTGCTGTGGTTTTGTACGACAGGTGTATGCAGGCGGCCGGGCTGGATGATGGGCATAAAAACAAATTACTTTGACAAAAGATCTGTCGTTTTTATCCTGAGTCCCGCATGTGGTCGTTTGCTTTTTACTCACTGAAGGTTTTGGATAAATTGTGGTTTCATTTAGATACTAAACGTGTTGTGCTCCAAGTCTCAATTGACATTTTCAATATATAACCAAGACCATGATCTTTCCAGACCAGGAGGAAGTGCTATGAGTTAAAACACAATACAAATGTAATCATGCTTTAGTTGCGGATACTGTAGGGAAGACAAAGGAAATATCTGGTCAGTGAACATCTGCAGATGAGTTCAGCATGACCATTCGACTTAGCAGATACGTTCATTAAAATGTTTTCTCATTATGTCAGAGAAAAAAAACAATTGTTGAAGAAAAAAAAAAGCGATTTATTTCAGATAGGATTGACTGAATCTGAATACTTTTTCTCCTACTTTAAGAATAGAAATGTGATATTGTGTCACTTCCTGTACTTTAGCTGACTTTGGAGTTTAGTCTCTTGGTTTCTTGCCAGATTATGTAAATGTTACACTGGCCAAACAATACTTTCAACAAGGTGGTTGCATATTTTACGTTTTTATTAGACAGGTATGTTATTAGAAATAACCGCCTGACCACCTCTTTTTTTCCTTCGGTAGATCATCCAGTCGATGGCAGACTTATTGTACACCATACTGTAAATCCATTCCCAAACTTTTTTTTCCCTCATTCTCCTCCCTTGTAGAAACCCAGTGTTCACATGTTCTCAGCACTGAAGTTTGCCTCTGCATGCAATGACTCTTTACCTCGCAGGGAGGCAGTGCTGTGTCATTCTCACACTGATGAGAGAGCACCACAGACGCACTGTAAAAAGCCTGCATTTCAAAGAGTGATAACAGATTGCTAATATACAATATATAGCTTCACACATAACCACAAAGCAGCTCATTTTTACACTGACACTCCTCTCCATCTGTGACAGGGTCCAGCAGAGCAGGCCCATCAACATGATGTACACTTTGGCCAGCAGTCCCAAAAACTGGCCTTGGCGATGAAGCTTGAAGACACTCCACAGGTGAGCTTGAATTGCTGTTATCTGAAGAAGGAAGCGCTGCAACGTCGGTGTTTGATGTGCAGACTTATATCTTTGGGTTCATGGCCAAATAGTGTTGAGAGACACAGGGAAAGTAGTTAAGAATAGTAAGACAAAAAAGGTATTTTGGTGTACTGAATACGAATTGTGTACATGCTGTAAGTATTTGGAAAAGAAGGCATAGACACAGATGAAGAACAATTAAAAAAAAGAAAACCAATAAGACAGACAGGAAGATAAATGGGGCATTGGGGGGAAAAACAGTTTGTTGGTCAGTCAGTCATTCAGACAGACAGTTATCCAGAAGGGACACACGTCATCATACGCAGACAGAAAGTCGAGACAGACATTATGATTATACGGAAGAGACGTCCACCAGTCACTCAGTCAGATATGTATGACTGATTGACAGCATTATATAGCGCTACACAGACAGACACTCTTAACAATCCAGCTGACAGACACACTGATCTCCACGCAGATAAACTCGCGAGACAGGCGAGCAAACACTGTGCATCCCAGATCAGTTCATTTTAAAGGTCCACAATCAGGCAGGCGGCAGCTGGACTGGCCATCAGGGAGAGATGTGGGGCCGCGCTGCCCCAATATATCCATGCAACATTAATATTTCAAAATTGTTTTTCCGGGAATTTATAGTCTGGATAGCCGCTGGGCTCTATCACACACGGTAACATAAATGAAGCAATTGTTAAGGTTTGTGTCTTTGCCTAAGATAACAATTGTTTTCCATTTGCTTGTAGAGTTTAAGCCGCCACAAAGAAAGTCACAAGGTACTGTCGCCGGTATATCCATCCATCTATCCATCTATCTATCTATCCATCCATCTATCCATCTATCCATCCATCCATCTATCCATCTATCCATCCATCTATCCATCTATCCATCCATCTATCCATCTATCCATC